AAAAAAAAAAAAAAAAGATTCCCTCCATGGTTAACAAATAAGCTCGCTGATATTCACAGCTGCGTCATTTTCAACAGCAAAAAACTAGAAACAACCAAATGCCCAACACCGGGGGAAGATCCAGGCAAACACAACAGAACGTGCTATGGCCTTTACACAGCAGGCTGTGATGCTCCCCAGGTGTGTGGGCAGGAAACAATGTTATTCTATGAAGAAAACATACATCTGTTTGTTTTCTCACCTTTGTGCCTGACGGGAGGTTAGAAGAGCCACTAGTGACTCCTAGAGCACCTACTTTGTGCCATGCCCCATTTAACGATCCTGGTACCTGCAAGTTTTAGGTCCATTTTGCAGGTGAGGATTCTGGGACTTGGAGGAGTTTGAGACTTTGCCCAAGTTCACGCAGCAAGTACATACTGGATTCAGGTCTGACTCTAGAGCTATTCTACTCTATCATTTTTCTCGGGACAAAGAAATAGCCAGAACCTGGATTTTATGGTGTTTTTCCTTCTTCAGACTTGTTTAAACTTGTAACTTCTAAATACAGTCTGTTGGCCAGGTGCAATAGCTCGCGCCTGTAATCCTGGCACTCTGGGCGGAGTTCAAGACCAGGCTGAGCAGCAAGAAGAGCAAGACCAGGCTCTACTAAAAACAGCAAAACTAGCTGGGCGTGGTGGCAGGCGCCTGTAGTCCCAGCTACTCGGGAGACTGAGGCCAGAGGATTGTTTAAGACCAGGAGTTTGAGGTTGCTGTGAGCTATGATGTCATAGCGCTCTACTGAGGGTGACAAAGTGAGACTGTCTCCAAAACATAAATAAGTAAATAAAATAAATAAATATAGTCTGTCGTGTGTCACTTAACAATGAGGATCATTCTGAGAAACTCATGGTCAGGTGATTCCGGCATTATGTGAACATCACGGAGTGTGTACACAGACCTAGGCGGGACAGCCTGCTGCACGCCCAGACTGCGTGGTCTAGCCTGTGGCTCCTGGGCCACACACCTGTATAGCATGTTACCGTGCTGAATACTGTAGGCAACTGAAACACAATGGGGGCTCTAGGTATCTAAGCAAACCTAAACATAGAAAGAGCAGAGTAAAAATGCAGTATTAAAATATCATCACGTAAACCAGCATCACCGCGCAGCCTGTCGTCCACCGAAACGTCCTGATGTGATGCAGCACTGTGCTTAGCTGGCTTCCCTAACTGCACAGCGACAGGCAGAGGTGGGAAAGGCCAAAAGAAACACGCTGGGCTGGGCGGCAGAGGTGAATCTGCTGGGCTGAGGCTGGCTCCGGGCTAACTCAGGCAGAGTATGATTCAGTGATAGCCGCCAGCTCCCCCTCGGAGGACTGTCGCACCAGCTAATCAATCTTTCTGCCACGTGGAAACCACCCGGTCCCCGTGAGGGTGGGGGTGCTCTCTAGTCCCCCTCTGAGGGAAGGCTGGATCTGCGGCTTGGCCTTTTCTGCAGGCTGCCAATTGAGCAAGGAGCACACCTCTCCACGGAGAGGGAAATGTCACCAACTTGGCTTCCCAAAGCATGTTGTCATTGGCCTGAT